GGGGGGGGGGGCTAACCACTTTTTTGGATAAGTAAGGTAAGAGAGAATATGAGAATTCACCCTTAACCCCTCCCCCATCATCTACCACCAAGTTTCTAAACGTAATTCAAGCATTTTAGTATAGTTTTAAAAATATTTATTAATATATAATTTATAATAATAATAATAATTTTGATTTCAGTGTTCAGTCACTTGCTCCACTCTGACAGCTGCATCCTCTTAGGCAAATTTCTGGCAAATTCAGTTATTATTTCACTTTCATCGAATTAATCTTTATTATTTATATTAGCCATAGATAACCCATTCAGTCTGTTTTCCGACATGGTGCTTCTTAAAAAAATTTTTAAGCGATTAAGTGCTGAAAACGTTCTTTCCGGAGTGAAAGAGGTAACTGGTAACGTGGCGAATAATTGTAAAAGTATTTTAATGTTAGGTCGAAGATTGGTGCGATGAGAGAGTGAATCAAGAGCAGAATTCGGTTTTGGAATAGTATTTTGACTCCATTGTTGCCTCCATATGAACAGGTCAGCTCTGATTGTAGATGAGGTATCATCATGGAGATCTTGGACATATATTTTAGCAGCTTTTATAATATTTTTATCATCATACATATTTAAATTGGCCGGAATAAGTCCTTCAAGTGGCATAACATCAATAAGCCTTTGATTAAAACGAGCATCCATTGATTCTATTAAATAGTCAAGATACACTATACATATAAACACAGCCCATGGAGGGGGCTATAGCCCCTTTAGCCCCCCCCCTTGGCTACACCACTGTATAAATGTATAATATAATCATGCAAAAACTATTAATACGGCCTTAACATTTCAACCACATTACGCCAGAGGAAATATTATCGAACAAGCACACTTGCTCAATGAAATCATAGTTTTGGTGGTAAATCGTTTAAAATTTAGGTACTGGTTTATAAATGTATCACTGTTATCAAATTTTTAATCTTATAAGATACTACATGAAAACTTTTAATCTTAAGTTTTCTGAGACGATTTTAATAAATATTTTAAATTTATATTACGAGGAAGAACAACAAAGTAAAACCAATAATATATGTTTTCACTTAGAAATATAGAACTCAAGGTTCCAAAATAACTGTAACAATAATATTGATTATATGTTTACAATTCAAAATACATATTAATATATTATTTTAGACTATGATAATGTTGACTTTTACATAGTAAATATATTAATTATTACGATACTGGTTACAAATTTACAATATTATAACATGTAAAAATTTTCTTGGATTTTGTAAATCTAGTTTTATTCATAATTTTAAGATTTAAGACGCACAAATAATAACCAAGATGAAATAACTCTAAGTAACTAGGAAAATTTATTTACAGAAGTAGTTGTTAATTGAGATATTATTAGATAATGTATAAAACTAAAAACTAAAATGTTTAAGAAATTAATACTATATTGATTAAGAAAACTAAAAGTTGATTAGATAAAATACATTGTAAATTAAACATATAATATTTAAAATTATAAAATTTTGTTATATGTAATTGTATGTAATTTTGGTTTATTCCAAAAGTTAATTTTCCAAAATTAAATAGGTATAAATTGTTATCGGAAAAACATGTTTTCCACTCTATGCAACAATGGTAGAACTTTACATGTTGGAAGTAATTAAGTATACTATTTGCTGTCCTACACAAATACGAAATTTCAAATGTATTTTTAATGTAGAATCGGAAACCGATTAATGGGTTTCCATATATTGACTTTATTATGTAACAATTTGAGAGCAGCATATTTCTAATTATGGAATAACACATGCCTTTATCTCGGTAAGCATGATTTTCATGTAAAATAACTATAATTGTATTTTTAACTGTAATTAACTCAGGTCTTTACCTGAATTGGTTTAATACCAACATAAAGTATCGATCACGACAGTCATTGGCAAAGATAGAATTATTGAAAACAAGAGATGACTGCCAGGTGAAATAATGACGTTAATAGAACTATAAAAAAAGAGGGACCAATGCGACATCAAATCAGTCGAGTTTTAGTCACGGAACAGCAAGCAACTTCACGTCACTTATTTTACCAGTTTAAATACTTTTGTATTTATTTTAATAATTATCTTGTAAAAGTAAAAAGTCTTTATTATCTATATTAACAGAACACAATCATCGACTATTCGAAAGAGATTTTGAGTTGGTGATACATAAAATCGATAAATAGGTCTTTCCAATTGAAATTTAAAAGTTTTATGAAAAATAGACGAATATCATTTATTAAATATTTTATAGTACCTAATTTAAATTTTTTTGTTACAAAAGTTGTAATCTACGAGTTTAATTTTATTTTTCTGTTGCTCGCATTTTAAACTTAAAAACTTTTTAAAACTATTCAACCTTCTCGAGTATAGCCAAACTTATATGTAAGATTATTTTCCAACATACTTACCTAGATTATATCTAATATACTATAGATTTATATACCAAAATCTGTGTCCATTTATCATTTTAAAAGCGGGTACCTACTTGAAACTTTCAAATTAGATTGTATTTTGAAATCCAACGATAGAACCAAATTTTTATAAGATCAGTACGTTTACATGGTATGCTTCAAGAGTAGTGCAAGTATTTAAGTAAGTACAAGTATTTGATATGTAAATACTTAGTTATACAATTTTAAAACACTTTGGTAAAATATATTTATGATATTATGTACTTCAGTCATAAATCAAAGTTCAAACGTTACTTCGCTTTTAAAACCGGATACCTGCAGTGAAAAGTGAAATACTAAAAAAATATTACCAACCTTAAAGGTATTTATAAGTTACAATTCAATATTTATAAAGAGCGTAATGTGGGTAATAATAAATATATTTACAATTGCAGTTTCAGAAGATTTTATTATTGATTTATACAACTGGTTGCAATAATAAAATAAGTTGTTGACCGCGGTCGCATTTGAAAATTATATTTAGCGAAATAATTTCAATACTTAAACTGACTCAAACATTAAATAGGAAAAGGTATTACAAGTTAAGTAAGTATATTATATTTTTAAGAAAAATGTTTAAGATGTATTCTGATACATTTGAAATGTAATATATTTATCGTTGTAGTATTAAATGTACGTTTTGATTATTGCGAAATCATATTTCATTCTACGTAACGAATCATACACTACACTCTGATCTTAATATACAGACTGTCGTCAAAGCGGCCACTTCCTTTTACAAGCGCTTCCGTTTTCGTCTTGCTAAACATCCGAATCCACTTATCCTTTCTCTCAACTCAATAAATATTCCTGGAAACCCATCGAGATGGCTATGGAGGCGTTGGTTGTTGTAACTTGGCTCTGTAAAATTAATCGGTTAAAAAAAAATTTATATATAGTCTAACAAATTCCTATCGCGTCTGAGTATACTGTTAAGTAGAT